AAAAATACAAAAAATTAGCCAGGCGTGGTTGTGGGCGCCTGTAGTCCCAGCTACTTAGGAGACTGAGCCAGGAGAATGGCGTGAACCCAGGAAGCGGAGCTTGCAGTGAGCCAAGATTGCACCACTGCACTCCAGCCTGGGCGACAGAGCAAGACTCCATCTCTAAAAAAAAAAAAAGAAAAGAAAAGAAAAAAAAGAAATCCAATGTAGTCAATGTGCCATCCGTTGGAGAATTAGTGTCATCGAGGGATGGTGGCATGTCTCAGCATTGTTCTCTTTTGCTAACAGGTTGAACATTGAGCAATGGCTGTAGCTTGATTTATCTTGGTAAGCAGAAGCTCATGCAGCTGGACTTGTGTATAACTTCCTTCCCTGCCACCATGGTTCTTTCTATCATAAACCCATTGTGCCAGCATTGAAATGGCTAGTGACAGGCTATTGACACCAACCTCCTGAGTCAATTCTTCTACTTGGTTTTACATGTAATACAAAAATCTTCTTATTTCCTGCCATCTCCATAGTTTCAGCCTCATGATTCCACTCCAAGTTTATCTTCCAACGTTTCTCTTTCCTGGCCCCTAGCCAACTATCCAAGCCATTCCTACTGCCCATGAGTCTATAAGTATTTGAAACTTGAGTCACTTCTCTTTCCATTAAAAAGTAAATGACAGGTGTTCAGAACTCTTCAGAGTGAGAGGCTTTTCCCCCACTGCTGTTTTCTAAGGCCATTCCTGGGTGAGGGTATAATGCAGTTGTTGTCTATCTTAGCTTGCTTCTGTGTACCAAGTCAACCCATCAGTAAAGTAAGACAAGGTTTCTGCTTCTTTCCTGAGCTTATCATAAGAGACTTCCTCATCACCATCCACCTGCCCTTCTGCATCCATAGGTGTAAACTAAGGGAGAGATGCTAATGCAATGAAGGTAGATGGTATGGGGATCTGAGTCACATGTTTGTGTAGCTTATGTGTAGGTAGACTCAGGCCTTAGTACTTATTATCCCAGACTTACTATTTCTGCCTTACAATTGATTACTACTGGGTCCACACAACCTTATAACTTGGTGAGTCTGACAGAAATCAGGACCTCATTTCATGATGACAGTGCTGGCCACAAGGTCACTTGACCCACGGTAAAGTATACTATCTCTACATGGGCTTCCAAGTAGAAAAACAGGAACTGTCTTTCTAGGAGTGTAATTCTCCATTGCAAATGGCATAGTTGTGCTACACTATGATTCTCCTATGAAGTTTGCCGAACAACTCCACTCAGAGTCTTTTCCTGCCCTGTCTCCAGCACTATAAAGCCTGCTGGTGTTTATGGTCCAAGCATCAGGGTCACTTGCGCCAAAATCTAGACCTACTATAGAGCACTTTCTAGCGGCAAGCTCCCCTCAAACCCAGAAACCTTTTGTATCAGTCAGCAGTAATATTCCCAGTGTGGAATATATTGCCTCCAAAACCCAAAGAGGGCAGATATGTTTTCTTCTTTGTGGTGGTAAGTATGAGATGCAATCATTCTAACTATATTTTGGAGGGAATGTCTGAGCACACTCAAGAAATTAGGCCTGTAAGAATTTTTTTGATGTAGTGGGACTGTGAATCCTCATGGATTTATGTCCTACTCCCTGGAGTGCATGTCTTATCACCCCTCTAGTACACTTAACAGTTCTTGCTTATATTGCCCAATTATCATGACATCATAAATACACCAGTGCAATATTTTTTCTAATGTCCAGATGGTTCAGATTTCCTCAGACTTACATTATGACAGAGGTCAAAAGAGTTAACACAGCCCTGGGGCAAGACTAAACATATACTGTTTTATGTTCCAAGTGAATACAAACTGCATTTCATTCCTCTTCTAACAGGAATGGAAAAGAACGCGTTTGTCACACCAGTGGCTACATGCCATATATCGGACTTTGTTAATTTATTCTATTAAACATGCAACATCTTGTATAACAGCTGAAATAAAGTTTCCTACTATCCTGAGTTTGTAGTACTGTGTGTCATTCTCCAGAAACCACCTGGATTTTGTAGGGAACCACCTGATGAATTAATGTAGATATGATGGAGACCACCAAACCTGTGTCCTTTAGGTCTCTAAGGGTGACATTGATCTCTGTCACTCCCCACAACATGTAATATCGTTTCGATTATTCAATTGAAACTAGAAAGCATTTTGAATGAAATGATAATGAAACACAACATATCAAAATTTAAGAGAAGCAGCAATCACAGTGCTTAAAGGTAGAAGCTTAGATTAATTTTTAATTTTTTTCTTTTCTAATGTTAACATTTATAGATAAAATTCTAAGTTATAAATCAAAATATTTTCTAGTTTCCTTTGTATCATCTTTTGGGACCCATGGATTGTTTAGAAGTGTGCCGTTTAATTTCCAATTATTTGGGTATTATCATTTTGTTATTGATTTCTAATTTAAATCTACCACTGACACATAATATGCTCTTACACTGCCTGATTTTAGTTCTTTTAAATTTATTGAGAATTATTTCATGGTCCAACGTACAGCCTACCTTAGAAAATGTTTCATGAGCTCTTCAAAGAATGTGAATTCCACAGTTGTTGGGTGGAGAGTTCTATTATTAATGTCAATTAGATTAATTTGGTTGATATTGTTCAATTCTATATTTGGTGATTTTCTGTCTTTTTTTGTCAATTACTTGAAAAGGAATGTTGGAGACTACAAAAATAATTGTGAATTTGTCTAATTCTTCTTCGAGTTGTGTTCATTTTTGTTTCATGTATTTTAAAGCTCTGTTAACTGGGTACAAATTAGGTGGTTACGTTTTCTTGATGTTCACATCATTATAAAATATCCCTCTTTAGTCCGATAATATTCCTTCCTTTGAATTCTACATTATCTGATATTAATATATCCAGTCCACCTTTCTTATGAATGGCATGTGCATATTGTATCTTTTTCAATACTTTTCGTTTTAACTTATCTGTATATTTATAAACAGTTTCCTTATAGGCAGCATATAGTTGGTCTTGCGTTTTATCCAGTTTGAAATCTCTGCTAAAAGGCAGAGATGGGAGTGTTTAGACTATTTATATTCAATATAATTATTGACATAATTGGGTTTAAACTTATCTTTTTGTTATATGTTGGAATTCGTACCATATGCTCTTTCTTCCCCTTTTTCTTCTTTCCTACCTTTTTTTGGGTTAATTGTGTATTTTCTATCTTTCTATTTTAAATCCACTATTGACTTATAAACTACACTTTTTTGTTTATTTCTTTGTTTACTGGGGTTCATAACATGCAACTTAATTTCATCCAATCTACTTTTAATTAACATTATATCACTTCACATATAAATTTAAAACCTTGCAACAGTATTCACTCCCTAATAAACCTTGAGCTATTTTATTATACAACTTATTCTTTCATAGGCTAAAATTCTCAATATATTGGCATGATTTTTTGCTTTAAACAATCAATTATTTTTAAGAAGTATATAAATTTAACAAATAAAAAATTATTTTATATTTACCATGTCTGAAGCTTTTTATTTTTGTGTGTAGATCCAAGTTTTCATCACTTTTTTTCCTTCCATTTAAGGACTTACATTTTTAAAAAACATTTCTTGTTATGCAGGTCTCCTAGCCACAAATTTTCTGGGGTTTTTTTTCCCCCCCAGAAAAAAATTTATTTTGCCTTTAATTTTGAATAATGTTTTGGTCAGATATACAATTTTAGGTTTATAATTTCTTTCTTTTAGCACTTTAAAGATGTTTCTCCATTCTTCTGAAATACATAGTTTCTGAGGGGAAATTAAATTTGTATATTTGTTTCTTTATACATATTTTTTCTATTTTTAAGATTTTTCTCTTCATCACTTGTTTTCAGGAATTTAATTAATATGGGTTTTTTGTGTGGCTTTCTTTGTGTTATTTCGGCTTGAGGTTTATTGAGTATCTTGGATCCGTGAATTTACATTTTTTATGAAATTCATCAAATTCCTAGCCATTATCCTTCAAATATTAATGTTTATATAAGTAGTTAACATTTGATAAATGTATATTTTAAATCAGCAGCAAAAATATGCATATACATGCTATAAATTAAATGGTTTGGAATAATGAGCTATCCCTTTTTTCAAAAAAAAAAAATTAGATTTCATCCTCACTCCATTCACAAAAATAAATTGGTTTTATATTAACAACCTCACGTAAACAAATGGAAATATAAAAGTTTTCAGTGAAAATAAAAGGATTAGTTTAGACACTTAGTATAAAATATTCAAGTTATTGATCAAGCAAACCCTGTATTTATACAAAAATTAACTAATGGCCAACTAGGTAGGCACTCCCTGATCATCACCCAAAATCAAATCTACCATATGTGATTGTGAAGTTTATGGTAGGCATGCTCAAAATATTTTTATTAGCTGTTCTTGAAAGAAAAATTATGAAAGTTGTGTACGCTTTTTTTTTTTTTTTTGTCTTTTTTGTTTTTGAGACTGTATCACTCTGTCACCCTGGCTGGCATGCAGCAGTGCAATAATAGCTCACTGCAGCCTCAACCTCTTGGGCTCAAGTGATCCTCCTGCTTCAGCCTCCCAAGTAGCGGGGTCTACAGGCATACACAACCATGCTAGCTAATTTTTAAATCTTTTGTAGAGACAGGATTTCACTATGTTGCCCAAGTTGGCCTCAAACTCCTGGCCTTAAACAATCATCCCACCTCTGTCTCCCAATGCTGGAATTACAGAAGTGAGCCACTGTGCCCAGCCCTCTTTTGAAAATGTTCCCATGTATTAAGTTCAGCTACAACAATTTGTAAACCAAAAATAGAGGTGTTTTAAACAAAATAGAAACGTATCTGTCTCTCGTGCTTATGTTTACATACACAGTTAAAAGCCTGCATAGAGGCTTGACTATTGTCAGATAGCCTAGACACCATGCTTCTCATTGCACTGCTATTCTCAACATGTAACTCCATTTTGTGATCCAAGTTCCAAATATCTTACCCATTTATCCATTTTATCTTAGCCAGAAGGGGAAATTGGAAGGAGAAAATTATGTCCTCTCACTCTAAGATTATTTCCTGGAAAAAAAAAAAAAAAGTCAACATTAATTCTATTTACATCCCGTTGGTCAGAATTTAATAGCATGAGCACATCTAGCTGCAAGGAAGTCTGGGAAATGAAGTCTGTTCTGCACGACTGTATCCAGGTGATTCTAGGTGCTACATTATTGAGGAAGAAGTGAAGAACAAATACTGGGGGACAAACAGCCTTTCTGCATTATTTGTTCTTTCTTTCAACAAAACTCTTTGGGTCCCTACCTACAAGACACTAGTGATGGCCCCTAAGATGTAGGATGAACAAGCATACAGCCCACCCCTACCTGAATCTTACAGTCTAGTGAATGCATAAAAGTTGAGTAATTAAGAACACATATCTTCTGTGCCATTTCTGCAGCCTATTTTCAACCAGTTCTTTGTGGACATTCTGTTTAGTCCCTGTAAATGAGTAACGCTATCATTAAGCCTCTACCTAGAACTTCACGTTACATTAGGCACTCAGTATTATCCTTGAGTCTTAAAACAAAAGAAAACTTCAGAGATCATTTAATTGTTTGTGGTTAAGAAAACTGAGGTCCAGGGACAAAGGGACTTACCCAAGGTCCCTCCTTTAATCTCTTTGTTGTCAACGACGCAGATCTCTGTCTGCAATCACCACAGAGTGTCAGGACCTTAAATTTCAAGAAATAAAAGCTGAGCTTTCCTCAGGATTTCCCAACCGTGTATGAGTAATAGGGAAAAACCCCTGGCAACAGCCGTCAACCCATCTGCTGTTTCAACAATGCAGCTTGCTAAACATTCTATTATAACTTCTCATTATGCAATAGGAACAGAGCCCACCCAGACTGCTGAAATACCTCTTGAGCCAACCTCTGTGTCTAGAAAGAAATCAGTGAGTTGAGCATGCTAGATTTAACTTCCTACTCTAACACTTATTAGCTGTGTGTCCTTGAACACATTGCTTAACTCAGTCGAGTTTCAAATTTCTTATCTCTAGCTTGGGGATTGTGGATGAAAACAGTCAAACTCTGTAAAACTTGAAGAGATTTATTCAGAGCCAAATATGAGTGACCATGGCCTCTGACACAGCCCTCAGGAGGTCCTGAGAATATGTGCCCAGGGTGGGTGGGGTGCAGCTTGGTTTTCTACCCAGCATGGTATAAAACCTCAGGGAAGCATGAGACATCAATCAAATACATTTAAGAAATACATTGGTTTGGTTCAGAAAGGCAGAACAAATCCAAGGACAGGGGATGGGGGGCTTCCAGGCTACAGGTCAATTTAAACATTTTCTGATTGACAATTGGATGAACTTGTCTAAAGACCTGGGATCAATAGAAAGGAAATGTTCAGGTTAAGATAAAAGATTGTGGAGACCAAGGTTCTTTTGAAGTCACATAGTAGCTGCCCTTAGAGACAATAGATGACAAATGCTTTTTATTCAGACCTTTAAAAGGTGCTAGACTCTTACTTAATTGCTTCAGAATTGGGAGGGCCTGGAAGAAAAATATCTGGGTATGTTAACAGAGATTCTTTACATGTAGATGCACATTTTCCCCTACAAAGGACAGCTTTGCAGGACCATTTCAAAAAATGGCAAGCAAAGTAAAATATGTTTACTTCCTTCTTTGTCACATAATGTTATGCCGGAGTCATATTGGAAAGTAAGTCACGATATATAGGATTAAATGTAAAACATCTGATGAGAATTTATGGTTTGTAGGGCATGACTCCACAGACTCCCTAGATAGGAATTTGGGCAAGATAAAAAAAACCAGAGCCTAGTCCTTAGGATGATTACCCGTATGCTATAGTACCAAAAGGATCAAGTAAAATATCATAAATAATAAGTTTAGTACAATAGCTTACCTGTAAATGTTATTTTCATTCACTTATATTGATGCATCATTGCTTCCAAGGAAACTACCTTCTCAAAAACTATTTTGATTTATTCAACTACTTGTAATCCTTCAATGGCTCCCAATCACTTACAGGAGAAACTCCAAACCCACTGGCATAATTTTCAATTTCTTCTCTATTTCTTTACAAAAAAAAAAAAAAAAAAAAAAAAACAGTGGGCCGGGCGCAGTGGCTCACACCTGTAATCCCAGCACTTTGGGAGGCTGAGGCAGGTGGATCATGAGGTCAAGAGATCGAAACTATCCTGGCCAACATGGTGAAACCTCATCTCTACTAAAACCACAAAAATTAACTGGGCATGGTGGTGCACACCTGTAATCCCAGCTACTTGAGAGACTGAGGCAGGAGAATCACTTGAACCCAGGAGACGGAGGTTTCTGTGAGCCGAGATCGTGCCACTGCACTCCAGCCTGGTGACAGAGGGAGACTCCATCTCAAAAAAAAGAAAAAAAAGAAAAAAAGAGATTTGGCAAATCAAAGATGGAGCTAAAACATAAGTCAATTGACACCTGTTCTACTAATCCCTTAAAAATAACTATAGTAAAATGTAGAAAATTCTACAAGAGAGATTAATACAGAACACTGGGGTAAAAAGGGGAGTGTTGTTTGTCATAAGGTTGTTTATACTTTCTTAGCCATTCAGTTTCAGAGACTGAAATACATCCTGAAAGATTTACTGTAGTTATTTCTAGGTGCAGAGTTGTAAGTGATTTTTAATAATTTTGTTGTCATTTTGAGTATTTTCCAATTTTTCTCTTCCTTTCTTTCTTTTTTTTTAATTTTTGTAGGGACAGGGTCTTGCTGTGTTGCCCAGTCTGGTCTCAAACTCCTGGCTTCAAGCAGTCCTCCCACCTTGGTCTCCCAAAGTGCTGCGGTTACAGGCATGAGCCATCATATTCAGCCCCAATTTTTCAACAGTAAAACACTTATTTTTCATCTAATAAAATAAAATATAATAATAGTAATAACATGTGCTTATAACTGAAGATTATCCCCAGCAGAAGAAATAATTAAGAGTAGGGTTTGTGAATGAAGTCAGACACTAGGAGATTTAATGACAAGATGACCCCAGTTGTCCATGGGGCCATAAGTGAGCATATATGACACACAGACTCACCACCAGGTTATGCCGTCTCAAGTCTCAAGGTCATTTTTCTTTTTCTGAGATTCGGTGGCTACCTGTTGAGGCAGGACCTGCAATTGAAAGGCAGTCTTCAGCTCTGATATAAGCAGTCATGCTCCAGTCAAATATGTCTCATTTAAACTGCAGTAGACCAATAATTGTTTGTTTTGTTTTGTTTTTGTTTGTTTACTTGTTTTCTTAAGAGCTTTATGGAAACATAACTCACATACCATACAATTCACCCATTTATTCTTACATTTCATATAAATGCATTCATACAATATGTGGTCCTTTGTGACTGGCTTCTTTCACTTAGCATAGTATAATGTTTTTAACATTTGTTAAACATTAATATTAACATAATGTTTGACCATTATAGAAAATGCTGCTAGGGACATTTATGTACAATTGTTTTTGTTGGCTAAATGTTTTCATTTCATTAAGAATGCACCTAATTATGTATCTCCCCTATTTTTCCTTTCCAATGGGAAGAGTTATTTTGGTTTTGTGGTCTCTGTATATTGGGTGTGTGAGGAGGGGAGCACAGAAAACCCTTCCTTTTAGTTTACAAATTACCAGAGTGAGAGAAGGCACATCCAGATCTAGAAAAGAGGCCACCTAGCATCCCCTAGTCTACTCGGGACTTCTAGCTGATTCCACAGACTGTATGAACTATTGTGTTTTCTCTCTGTCTTGGGGTGGCATGATTGTCTTTTGCATGTAAGAAGGTCAGTGAACTAAATATTTGCTGACCAGAATAGCAGACTTTGGTCACCATTAATGTTTTCCACTAACGATTTCCAATTCTCCTACCAGAAACATTGCACTTCCTCATCTTCTTGAAACTGAGTGTGACTATGTGACTTACTTTGACTAGAAATGTGAGTGAAAGTGACCCTTTTCACTTCTGAGATGGTATACTATTTGTACTTCTTTTTTCTTCTGCTGCTACATACATAAGACTTCCATGAGGAAAACTTTAAAATAATAATAGATACAGAAGAACTGAAAAATGGAAATATTCTAAAGCCTTACATAGAGGAACAAAGGTCCATGAATATTTAAGTCAACTTAAAAAAAGAGGAGTAAAGAAAGGGGATTCCCCTACTAGATATGCCGTGCTATCAAGCCATAGTAATTAAAAGAAAATAGAATTGGTGTCAGAACAGATAGACAAATCGAACAGAATAGAGTTTAGAAATAGACTCTAAATTAGAGTCTATAGATTAAGTCTTCAAATGTACACGAAGTCTATTTAGAGTCTATATCTAAATACAGACTAGACTCTAAATAGACTTCGTGTACATTTGAAGACTTAATCTATAACAAAAGTGACACCATAAATCAAAGGGAAAGACTAGTTTCTAGCAGATGATGTTGGGAAATAGCTCACTGTGCTGACCCTGGGCCTGTTTGACCCCAAATACGGTTCTTGCCCTCCTCTGCTTTATATCACAGGCTGCGGGCTACATTCCCAGTCTCTCCTGTCACCTGCCCTTCATCCAGTGAGGCCAACAGAGAGGCAATGGAACAGATTGCAAAGAAAGAGGAAGAAATAATCCAGGCTATTCTCTCCTACTCTTCATGCATTTGAGGACATTTACGGCAGCAGCGGCATCTCTTTGATCATTCCCATTCCCTCCAAAATCTCCTGCGTGGATTCCAATTCCACCAAGTAGTCTCGAGTTCCAATAACATTGCCACCTCCTGTTCTTTATTATTAAGCCTAAGAGTGATAGCGGCTTCTTGCTGCTGCTAAGGTCTGGGTTGCCTCAGCATCTCCTGGTTAACTCACCAGATCTACTATCATTCATGTAACGAAGTACCTGCATTAAATTTCTTTTGTTTTAAACACTAAAAATGGCACGCATTTTTCTGGATAGATCTGACTGATATACTTACTATGTGGAGACAGATACATCTGAATCCCCACCTAACATCAAATGCAAAAGGTGGACTCTAAACGAATTCAAAATCTAAATATGAAGGCTAAAACTATGGTTGGTAGGAGAAAATATGGAAAAATGTCTTTGTAACCTAGGGATGGAAAAGCTAAAATTCCAAAAGCACAAACCATTAAAAAATTGACAAATTTGATTACATTGTAACAACGATTTTTGCTTAATGAAGAAGATAATTAAAGTTGAAGAAGACAAAGTTAACAAATAGATGAGTGATTGAAAAAATACATCTTTAAGGTCTAAAGTCAACAAGAGCTTAATATCTAAAATATATGAGAAACTTGCAAATCAGGAAGAAACAGATAGCTGCCCCAATATTAATAGAAATATGGTATAACAGGATATAAACAGTGAATTTACAGATGAGAAAGCCTCAAAAGCTAACAAGTTTATGAAGAGGTGTTCAAAATCATTAGCAATTAGAGAAGTGCAAATGATATTTTGGACCCAGAGAAAATGACATTTGCACTAGCCAAAAAGCTAAAGCTGCGTGAAAAAACTAGATTAGCAGCAATGCGGAATATCATGGCCACCATTTCCATGGTGGACTACCCGGAAAGCAGCCATCCTAGAGGACAAACTGTCAATATTTAGTCTCATTCCATATGCACATAGCAGCAATCTTTCTCCAGGGTATATAACACAAGCAATTCTCACGTAGGTTTATCAGAGGACATTCCTGGGGATGTCAATTGCTGTATTTCTTTTTTTGGAGTGAGTGGTGGGGGAGTCAGGGGAGAGATGGAAAATAACTTTGATAACCATGCCTGGAAGAATGAGTAGGTAAAAATCAGTAAAGCTGCATCATAAAATACCAGGCGTGAGTTCAAAGAAATGGCTTAGATTACTTTCATAGCAACATACATGGATCTTTAAAAAAAATTTCCCTTGGCCGGGCATGGTGGCTCTTGCCTGTAATCCCAGCACTTGGGGAGGTCAAAGCAAGCGGATCACCTGAGGTCAGGAGTTCGAGACCAGCCTGGCCAACATGATGAAACCCTATCTCTTTGTATTTAACCAAAAATCCAAAAAAAATTAGCTGAAAAATTAGCTGGGCCTGGTGGCAGGCACCTGTAATCCCAGCTACTGGGGAGGCTGAGGTGGGAGAATCACTTGAATCTGGGAGGCAGATGTTGCAGTGAACGCGTCATTGCACTCCAGCCTGGGAAAAAAAAAAAAAAAAAAAAAAAAGCCGTTGATGAAAAAAAATAAAAAATGAGACAGAACACATGCAAAGAAAGAGAGTGACATAAGCAAAGCAGCATCTTTCAGGCCTCCCTCCCTCCCTCCCATGCTCCCTACACATCTATACTTTCCATGCCAACAATACTGAACTGTTTGTGGTTCCGTAAACTCAGCATGTTTTTTCTCTACCATCTGCATCTGTATGTGCTGTACCTTCCTCCAGCCTTCCCATCTAGTTCAATGAGGGATGGGCACACTGAATCTTTCTTACTGGGGAATCATCTGAGCTCACAGCTTATTTGGAACAGAGTAGTTGCTCAGTAAATATTGCTGACTTTAAACTCAGTTTGGACATACTCTGCAGGCCTCTCTTGCACCACAAACCCCTTCCATTCTCCCTCAATCTTTTTGTGAAAATAGCTACAGATTGTTAGAAGATTATACCTTCTAAAATCTCAGCATTATGCTACTAATCTGGAAGGCACACACTTGGAGGTCAACATTCTGGGAGCTCAAGAAGGGGAAGAAGACTAAAATGTAAAGTTTCCATATGTTAACTTTCATTTAATCGCCCAACCATTTTCTATAAAGTACCCCTTCTTCCAACTCTGCCTGGTGTCCACCAGTCCAGAGCTCTTTTGATTCACTGCCTTCTGAGGGTAAACCTCCAGCTACATGCCAGGGCAAAGGAGAAGACATCACCTGATGTAGTGGGTAGGGCGGGCCTAGAAGTTCTCTTGCTTTTTATACAGATTCTCAATCACTCCTCTTTTTAGGCCCTATTTTACTTCATTCAGAAGTTCCAGGATCCAGAACTTGTCTGGGGTTCTGGCGTGCAAATCCCCTTGCTCTCCAGCTTCTGCTGCTTACAGCTCAGAATTCTCAGGTCTATGGAAGCCAATTGGAACAGTTGCCTATCTGCTTTCTTATTTTCAATATTCTTATCACCCCTTCTACCCTTCTTTTTGTCCTTGAGGGTTTATGCTTCACATTATGCCAAAACTTTAGTTGCTAGCATTGTGTTGTTATTTAAGAGGGAGCAAGGATAAATTAATTTGTTCAATATATCATCTTTAAAAAAAAAAAACCTGCCTATTTTCAGACATTTTAAAATTGTTAAAAATGTCTTCCTTTGAGGGAGGCAAAATTGGCAGGTTGAAAAGATCTACTTCCTATTCTTGTTTTGACACACAGACTTCTGATATTGTAGAACACCTTGCTGTCCCTCTCACACTTTGATTCCTTTCTTCTCCAGGCTGTAGACAAGCTCCCCTCCAGTACTTATTAAAATTATTGCATTTGTGACCAGTGGAAAGTATACCTGGAAAACATGTGAAAAGTGGGGTCGGGATGAGGATGGGAGGAGGTGGATGCATTGGAAGAATACAGAGAGCTCAGTTACCTTCTCCTAGGTCAATGTTTCTCAATTTGCACTCCCTAGATAAGCAGCATCAGCATTACCTGGGAACTTATTGAAATGAAACTTCTCAAGCTCCACCCTAGACCTGCTGGGTCAGACACACTGGTAATGGGATCCAGAACTCTGTTTTAACAAGGAGATTCTGATGCACACTCCTGTTTGAGAACAACTGCCTTAGAATCAACTGTGGCCATGGGCACAAGGAGATAATAAGGAAATCTGGCCACTGCGTTACAGGGGCCATTACCTGAGAAGAAACAACTATAAACTGGAGAGCCAATGAGTTGATATGAATTACACTTCTATCCCGTAGTAATTAATGGTATTCCTATGGAAGAAACAGCTAACTTCAGGGTGGTCTTTGTTTAAAAATGATTACTCTCCATTTATATTTTAGTCTTAGGGTTTTACTTGCTTTCTCTACATCCTGTATATAAGTGTCTGTGCTAAGAGAGTGAAACCAGATCTAGAATATCCTCACAATTTGGTACCCTTGGTGCTACTC